GGGGGGGTGGAGGGTTGACGTTGAACGCCCTGGCATTAGCTGACATAGTGTGTGACGCTAGCTGTCTGGCCCGGGCTAACCTGTTTCTAATTTTAGTTCAGCTTTAGTAGAGGTTTTATGGCGCTCGCAACTGCATAAGGTCATAGGAGCGCCAAAAGATTAGAGGTGTTACAAGAGAGTAACAAACATTAAAAAAACAGAAGAAGAAGGGGGAGATAAGGACAATAGATGTTTGATAGGAAAGAAAAAACAAACCACACCAGAGCACCCGCCAACCACCCACTAACCTGTTTTTCAGCATGATAGGTTTGGCATCTTCATGAAAACCCAGCATCCAGACGCACTCCGCGCTAGACCGTTGCTCTTCCGGGTCAGAACTCTGGAGCATGCGCAACAGCACGGGGAGAGCTCCCTTCTCCACAATCTGAGGGAGAAACATAAGTGAGGCATCGTGGTAAAATCAGGCGCTCGTCAAAAAAAAAATGAAATCAAATGAAACACGCATTTTCTGCCAGTCTGGTAATTTTGTCAAAAAGTTGTATTTTAGTACAACACTTTTTATGTTCGTATAAAAACACATTTCAATTTGAATATTACTGGAAAAACGTTGGCTAAAGACACAAAATATGTAATTTTTCAATTGGACTCTCAAGCTCTTGAAGTTACCAAGCTTTGGCGGTCATTTTCTCGCTAATTTTACCACTGGAACCAGGCCACCCCATCCTCCTCAATCGCAAATATTTCAACTTCTTTTCAAGACAGATTGATATTTAAAAAAATTAAAAGTAAGGCAAATAAATGAACTTTTAGATGATGTCAACAACTCCACGTGCCCAAAAATTGACGAGCGCCTGATTCCAGCGTGTTGACCTCAAAGAGTTATTTCTCACATCCCACGAATGGAGATATCGGCCGAAAATAAACACATCAATTTTGTAGATTTTTTGGGGAGATGCCAATTTTTTTTTTTCAAGTTAGAAATGTCTTTAATCTTTTCGTGTAATAAATTATACAACCCCAACTTCTAAATGTCATGTTACTATGTGTGTCCATAGGGCTACATTCCGAGAATAAACTCATTTGATTGTCAGCACGCCTCACACAGATTTACTAAGGCGTTCTGACAAATTGATAAGTTATTTCTCCGATTTTAGCCTCATGGACACAGATAAATATGTCAAAATAATTTTTGGTTTAGTTTATACTATTCATTATATGAAATGTGAGGCAGCGTGGTGGAATCAGGCTCTCGTCAATATAATCAAAGTGAAGAAATCATTTTTTTGTTTTTTCGCTCAACAAGTTTCATGCCCATTAAAGAACTCATTTCTTTGTAGATTGTCTGAAAAACGTTGATTAAAGGCATTAAAAAAATTATTTTTCAGTTACCACGGACTCTAAAGGTAAGGAAATAACTAATCTTTGACGGCCATTTTCTTACTAATTTAACCTCTGAAAACAGGTGACCACCACCTCCTTCTTTCGCAAATATCTCGACTCGTATTCAAGATAAATGGATATTATTTTCATTCAAATAAAGATAAGTGAACAAGCTTTAAAATGATACCAATAACTCTACATGCTCAAAAATTGACGAGAGCCTGATTCCACCACGCTGCCTCACAAATGATAAAAGACATACTATTTAACTCCATAGATGTACACTAAAGGTTTAAAAGGGGGTGACTCTATGTTTAACTCGCAGAAAATCTCATCAGTTTAAGATCTTCAAGTATGATGTGGGTTTGTTTTTCGGCCAACATCTCAACTCGAGGTTTGCGAGAAGTAACTCGTTCTGTCAGCTCGACTCACACAGGAGAGACACCCTGGTGGAATCAAGAGCTCGAACAAATAGCAATATTTATTATGAGGCAGTGTGGTGGAATCAAGCTCTCGTCAAAATAATGAAAGTGAAGAAACTTGCATTTTTCCGAAGGTTTATTTTATTATTTATTATAGTAGAGGGTTTTACGGCGCTCGCAACTGCATAAAGTCATATGAGCGCCAATTTCCGTAGGATTGTGAATTTTTTTCAAATCTTTGTTTTTTTGGCTCAACACCTTTCATGTCCATTAAAGAACTCATTAATGTGTGGATTTTTTAGAAAAGCGTTGATTAAAGGCACAAAAAATGTAAGTTTTAAGTCACCGACTTTGCAGCTAAGGAAATGACTAATCTTTGGCGGCAATTTTCTCACTAATTTTACCTCTGGAAGCAAGTGACCCCCGCCTCCTTCTTTCCCAAATATCTGAACTTGTATTCAAGATAAATTGATTTTTAAAAAAATCCAAATAAAGACAAGTGAACAAGCTTTAAGATGATACCAATAACTCTAAATGCCCAAAAATTGACGACAGCCTGATTCCACCACGATTCCTCACATTTATACACGTCGCATTGTTCTGGCCGTTGGAACGTTTTTCCTTTTTAAAAATAATTTTCTATTCTTTTCTTTTCTTTTAGCCTTAATAGCAGTTATGTAAATATAAAAACACATTTTTGTGTTTGTTAGTATCCAGTAACACCTCTAATCTTCGGCACTTATATGACCTGATTGTGTTGCAAGTGCCGTAAAACTCATCCTAGGACAAGGCCTACCTTTATCTTGTTCTCGTCGTTAGCCGCCAGTTTAGTCAGTCCTTCAATAAGCTCAATGGCGGAGAACCCAAGAAATCTTCCGTCTATTTCGTTCTCTGTCGCCTTCTTCGTCCACTCTACCAGTTTTTCGATTGCATCTGTTTAAGAGATAGTGAGTTTATTACACAGTAAACAGACAGAGAGAGAGAGAGAGAGAGAGAGAGAGAGAGAGAGAGAGAGAGAGAGAGAGAGAGAGAGAC